GATTTAAGAAACAAAAAATTGTTGGACGGCAATACATTGCTTTCTAGGAAAGCAGAATTAGTAAATATTGACGTTCCAACCATTTTGACCATTAATTGCAATAGTCCGTATTTAGAATTTTTTAGGGAGTATGCAGATTTAACTAAACCAACTTCAAGGAAACCCATCAGCCACACGGTGAAACATTATATTACCACAAAAGGTCCTCCAATAGCAGAGAAAGCAAGAAGACTAAATCCGGAAAAACTGCGAATCGCACAAGCCGAATTTCAGCAACTAGTCAACGAAGGAATCTGTCGCCCGTCCAAGAGTCAATGGGCGAGCCCTCTGCATATGGTACCAAAGAAAAAYGGCGAATGGAGGCCATGTGGAGATTATAGGCGATTGAATAGCGTTACGGTACCAGACAGGTACCCTATTCCACATGTACACGACGTCACGCAACAATTCCGTGACTGTAATATATTTTCCACAATAGATTTGTCTAGAGCATATTACCAAATTCCGTTGGCTGAGGAAGACATAGAAAAAACAGCGGTAATTACACCTTTTGGTTTGTTCGAATACACAGTAATGCCTTTCGGTTTATGTAACGCGGCGCAAACATTCCAAAGGTTTATGAACATAGTATTAGGCAAATTAGATTTCTGTGCCTGTTACATAGATGATATAATTGTAGCGTCTAAAAATAAGGAATCCCATGAAAAACATCTGCGTGCAATACTTGATAGACTTAGGCAATATGGACTAACAATAAATATTTCAAAGTGCAATTTTTTTCAAAATAGCGTAAACTACTTAGGTTATAAGATAGATAATAAGGGTATAGCGCCGTTGGATGAGCGAGTCCACGCTATACAAAACTATACCAAACCAAAGACTGTTTCAGATATGCGACGTTTCCTTGGGGTAGTGAATTTTTATAGGAGGTTCTTACCAAAGGCTTCAGAATGGCTTGACCCACCTAACAAATGTATGGTAGGTGCCAAGAAGCACGACAAAAGACTGATAGAATGGAATCAAGCAGCGGAAGAAGCTTTCAAAAAAGCCAAAGAAGCAATTGCCACAGCAACGTTATTGGCATAYCCAAAAGAGAAAGCAGTAWTAAAATTAAAGACTGATGCTTCCGATAACGCAATTGGAGCAGTTTTAGAACAATTCTGCGATAACAAATGGGAACCACTAGGATATTTCTCAAGGAAACTAGATAAAGCGCAAATTAGATATAGTGTGTATGATAGGGAATTATTAGCTATCTATAAAAGCCTAAAGTTTTTCAGATATTTTGTCGAAAGAAGAGAATTAATAATAGAGACTGACCATAAACMACTGTCATACGCTTTTAAGCAAAATACGGACAAAGCAAGCCCAAGACAAGCCAGACAGTTGGATTACGTAGGACAGTTTACTTCCAAAATTGTTTACGTTGCWGGAAAAGACAATGTGGCAGCTGACGCTATGTCAAGACTGGAAACCATAGACATGCCAGTCCTGGTATCAACAGAAGAGCTAATGGCAAAGCAACAAGAGGATGACGARCTAAAGAATATTTTGGCAGAAGAAAAATGGAACCTGCAGAAGATTTTCCTCGATAGCTCTGATAAATATATTTATGGCGACATAGTAGGAAAAAGCATACGACCATACGTTCCAGTCTCTTTACGGAGGCAGATTTTTAAGAACGTACACAATTTGTCACATCCCAGCGGCAGAGTAACAAAACACCTTATAGGAAAAAGCTTCATGTGGCCAAAAATGAACAAAGATATTGCAGAATGGTCCAATACATGGTTAGCATGCAAAAAGTGCAAAATAAGCCATCATAACAAACAGGTACCTGCGAAAATAGAAGTACCACAAGGACGTTTCGAACATGTACACATAGATATAATAGGTCCATTACCAACGATTAAAAATATGAGATACTGCCTAACTATGATCGATAGGTTTACTCGTTGGCTGAAAGCAATTCCAATGCCGGATACCTCAGCAGATACAGTGGCAACAACATTCTATTCGCAGTGGATTTCAAGATTTGGTTCTCCTATTACAATTACAACTGATCAAGGAACAAAATTTGAAAGTCAACTATTTGAAGCGTTAACCAAATTAGTCGGAGCAAAAAGAATTAGAACAACAGCATATCACCCTGCATCAAATGGAATGATAAAAAGATGGCATAGATCACTTAAAACAGCAATAATGTGCCATGAAGAAAAAGACTGGGTAGGAATACTACCAACAGTGCTCCTTGGTCTACGCACAAGCCTAAAGGAAGATATAAAAGCTTCAGCTGCGGAATTGGTATATGGTGAAAACATCAGACTACCAGGAGAATTTTTCCTCAGCGAAGAACTATTACAAGATCCACACATACCGATACCCACAGCACACCATACCAAAAAGAAACATTTTATTCAGGATAGGTTGTATACATGTACGCACATATTTTTAAGGGTCGACGCTGTAAAAAAAACCATTAGAAGCGCCTTACGAAGGTCCATACGAAATTATACAAAGAATTACAGATAATATTTT